TCAGGGGGTCCCCCCTACCTGAGGTGCTCGTAGCCCGGGATGCCGCGCGGGTCCCGGCCCGGCTCCCAGCTGTGCCGGCGGAAAGGATCCAGGGGCGCCCCGGCTCTCCGCAGGGACACCCCGCGCCCTTCCTCCTCCTCCTCCTCCTCATCCCAGGCCGTGCCGGGCTCCAGGACGGACACGCAGCGGCGCCTCGGGGGTGGGAGCGCCGCGGGGACCCCCCCGCAGGGGGCCGGGGTCACTCGGGGGGGCTCCAGGGCTTCGGGGGGCTCCAGGATCTTGGGGGGCTCCAGGATCCGGGGGGGCTCCAGGATCTTGGGGTGCTACAGGACTTGAGGGTGCTCCAGGATCTCGGGGTGCTCCAGGATCCGGGGGTGCTCCAGGATTTTGGGGTACTCCAGGATTTGGGGGGCTCCAGGATCTGGGGGGGCTCCAGGACTTGAAGGTGCTCTGGGCTCTGGGGGTGCTCCAGGATTTGGGGGTGCTACAGGATCCGGGGGTGCTCCAGGCTCTGGGGGGGCTCCGGGATCTTGGGGTGCTACAGGATCCGGGGTGCTCCAGGCTCTCGGGGGGCTCCGGGATCTTGGGGTGCTGCAGGATCTGAGGGGGCTCCAGGCTCTCAGGGGGCTCCAGGATCCGGGGTGCTCCCGGTGCCGCTCAGGGCCGGGCGCTGCGGGAGGGGTTGTGGAGGGGTCGGGGGTCCGGCCCAGCCCTGGGGTGATTTTGGGGGGTCCCAGCTGAGCCCTGCCCCCCACCCCGAGCAGGGGGTCGTTCCCGTGTCCCCGCGGCGCTGGAGGGTCCCCAACGCCCCCGGGGGGGACGCGGCACCCAAAACCCGCCCGGGGGCGAGGCTGAGCTCTGCTGGGTACTGATTAAACCCGGGAACTGGGGCGGGAGAGCGGCTGGGAACGGGAACGGGGACGGGAATGGGAATGGGGACGGGAAATGGAACGGGAATGGGAACGGGGACGGGGACGGGGATGGGGATGGGGATGGGAACGGGGACGGGAACTGGAATGGGAATGGCAGGGGGAAAGAGATTGGGATTGGGATTGGGATTGGGATTGGGATTGGGAATGGGGACAGGAATGGGAACGGGGAATGGAGATGGAAAAGGCAGTGGGAATGGGAAATGGATTAGGAATGGGAGAGGGAACGGGAATGGAATTGGGATTAGGAATGGGAACGGGAATAGGAACAGGAATGGGATTGGGACTGGGACACCCCACCCCAGGTGACCCCACAAGGGTGCAGCTCATCCGAGCCCCCAAATTCCCACCTCCTGAGGGGAGGGATGAACCCCCCGGAGTGGGGAGAGGGGCCCAGGGGGCTTCAGGGGGACCGGGAGATCGGGGATGGGGCCTGGGGTGGATTTGGGATGGGGTTGGGAGAGGCTGTGGGGTGGGAACACGGCGAGGTTTGGGATGGGATCTGAGATGGGATCTGAGCGGGTTTTGGGATGGGATCTGGGGGATTTCAGCCTGGCCATGGCTCCCTAAAAGGCCACACCATTCTGGAAAACCCCTGGGAATCCCGACTCCCCTCCCAAAATCCCACATCCTCTGAGAACCCCAACACCCCTCCCTGAACCCCGACACCCCCTGAGCATCCCGAGCCGGCTGCTCCTGCTGGGATCCCCTGGGGGCCTCGGGACCCCTCCTGGATCCCTCCTGGATCCCTCCTGGATCTGGGGGATCCCCCCGTGTCCCAGCCCGGTGTCACCATCCCAAATCCCAGCACCATCCCCAGGCTGGCACCTCCTGCCAGACTCACCCCGCAGGGACAGGGACAGGACTGGGATGAGCTGGGATGAGCTGGGATGAGCTCAGCCGTTTTCCTGTTTTTACATTCCCAGCCCGGTCAGCTGATTTAATTTAAAAAAAACCTTCTTTCCTTTGTGGATCTGCCGGGGATCGGCCACAAATGTGGAATAATAAACATGGAATCATCAAAAAATGAGGAGAGGAGCACGACCATCGCTCCAGAGGAAAACCACAGGCACGGCTCTTCCCAAAAATCTGCCAGCCCCCCAAGATTTTGGGGCTCCCGGGCTCATCCAGGTGCAGGAAAGCAGCCGGGAGCTTCCCAGAGCCTGTGGGAATCTCAGGATGCAAATCCAAGCTCCGGGGCAGGGAAAGGGAAATCCTGCGGCAGCTCCCCCAAAATCCCTGTTCTGGGGGCAATTTGGAGAGCGGCTGGGAACGGGAACCAATTCCCCCAAATCCTGATCCGGGGAACATCCCCCCAAATCCTGATCCTGGGGGCAATTCCCCCCAAATCCCAATCCTGGGGGCAATTCCCCCCAAATCCCGATCCTGGGGACAATTCCCCCAAATCCTGATCCGGGGAACATCCCCCCAAATCCTGATCCTGGGGGCAATTCCCCCCAAATCCCAATCCTGGGGGCAATTCCCCCCAAATCCCGATCCTGGGGACAATTCCCCCAAAAATCCCGATCCTGGGACATCCCCGAAATGTCGGTGGAGAGCGGCCGGGCTGGATCCCGGCCGGGCTGCGGGAACAGCGGGATAACGGCGGCCCGGGAATTTCGGGAGCTGCCCCCAGACTCATCCCCGGGGGGTCCCGGGGGAGGGAACCGTGGGGACCCTGCCCAGTGGCTTTGCTGCAATTCCGGGACTCCCGGTGGGGCTCGGGACCATCCTGGGAATTCCAGAGGGGTTCGGGACCATCTCGGAGGGTTTGGGACCATCCCGGAGGGGCTCGGGACCATCCCGGGAAGAATTTCGGGAGCTGCCCCCAGACTCATCCCCGGGGGGTCCCGGGGGAGGGAACCGTGGGGACCCTGCCCAGTGGCTTTGCTGCAATTCCGGGACTCCCGGTGGGGCTCGGGACCATCCTGGGAATTCCAGAGGGGTTCGGGACCATCCCGGGACTCCCGGAGGGGCTCGGGACCATCCCGGGACTCCCGGAGGGGTTCGGGGCGGGGGTGACGCTCGGGAATGGGGGGGTCCCGGTTTCCCGGGATCATCGGCGGGGGATCCCCATCCCGGGGGCGTTGGGGGGACGGGGGACCGGCTCGAGGGTCGCGCCCGGTCACCCCGGGACACCCCGGGACACCCCGGGACACCCCGGCCGTACCTGGGGGTGGCGGCGGTGGGGGGGCGAGCTCGGTGCCCGCCGGAAATTCCCAATTCCCGAGCGCCGGGGTCGCAGCCCCGCGCCCCCTGCCCCTCCCCTGCGGCGCTCCGAACCAACCAGGAACCTCCCGGCCGGGCAGATCCTTCTCCCGGTTAACCCTTTTCCCGCAGGTCCCGGGGTGCCGCTCCCCTTCCCCAAATCCGGAACCGCTCCCTCCTTCCCCCCGCTCCTCCCCAGTTCCCTTTCCCAGCGTTTTTCAGGGATCGGGAGCAGCCCCCGCGTCCCCCCCGGGGTCCAGCTGCCCCTTCCCGCCTCCCCTTCCCGTGGGATTTTTGGATAATTCAGCCGGGCACCCCCAAAACACCGCGGGGCAGGGCGGGGCTGGCTCCGTGCCTCAGTTTCCCTGCCCCAAAGGCAAGAATTCCTTCTCCCCCCCCGTGGAATATTCCCAATTTTCCAACCGGCTGCCGGCAGAACCCCGAATCCACGGGACTGAACCCCGAATCCACGGGGCTGCCCCCACCTTGTCCCGGTTCCAGGCGGGTCACACACCTCGGGCACCGGGCGGGGTTTCATCTCCTGGGACAAATCCAGCACGGAACGAGTCAGTCCCGGCTGGATCGGCTCCGTCCCGCCCCGGAGGCACCTGCGGGCCCTCAGCACCCCCGGGGGGAGGGAAGGAATTCCCACCTACCGGGAATGTCCTTGGAAAAGCTCCGGGAGCGCCCAGAAATCCCAGAAAACCCCCAAATTCCGCCTCTCCGGAGCCAAACGGCCTCGGGTTCCGTCTCCCTCTGGGTATTCCCGGGGGTTTGTCCCTCCGGGAATGTGTTTGTTCAAACAAACGGGCGGAACGGGGACCTTTGTGCGGGGTTCGGGAGGTGCCAGAGGTGACACCTCCGGGAGCCGAGCCCTGCCCGCTCCCGAAGCTTTTCCAGGGGTTTTGTCGGGAATTCTCTATTCCAGGGATTTTTTTTTTCCCCCTCCAGGGCAGGGAGTGAGAGTTTTGCCAGGTTTTTTTGGGGTTAAATTTTGGCCCCGCGTTTCCTGGTCCGCCCCGGAGAGCTCCCCGCCGTGTTTGTGTGCAGAAACCTTTGGAATTAGGGCGGAATTTGGGAAGTTGGGGCTTAAATTCCTGGATGGAGGCGGGAATGGGGTCTTTGGGTCCTTGCCAAGCCAAGCCGTGATTCCACGGCGGGACAAAAATTCCTTCCAAGGAGCCGAGACCCCAAAGAGCCAGAAATATTCCAGGTGGGATTTTTCACCGAGGGCTTTTCCAGCCTGAATCATTCCGTGATTTCCGAGGGGGTTCTGGAATTGGCTCCTCCTCACCAGGGTCCCCTCGGGGCGGGGGTCTCACCCTTCCCGATGTCACAGCTCCACCTCCCGAAATCCAGGAGCAGCATTCCCGGCGCTGCCAGGATTTGGGATCCAACAGGGACAACTCCTTTTCCCAACAAAACCCGCCCCGAGTCCCGACCCAGCTCCGGGAATGAGCCACCCTCGCCCTTTTCCCGGCTCGGAATCCCACGGCAGCGGCAGCAGATCCCGCTGGGATCGTCCTTACCCCGATCCCGGTGAGATTCCCGGCGCTCCGAGCCTCCCGGCAGCCCGGATCCCACCGGCAAGGGAGGGGTGGGAGCCGGGGCTGAGGAATTCCAGCCCCGGGGACGTTGTGCAGGGACAAAGGGACAAAGGGACACTGTTCCCCCGGGATCTCCATCCACCAACACGGAATTCTTGGCTGTGGGGTGAGGGAGACACCCAAAATATCGGATTTTTTTTTTTGGGGGGGGGGATTATCTCCAAATCTTTGCATCCAAATATCAGAGTTTTGAGGTTTTTTTTTTTTTTTTGGGTGGGGGGGATTATCTCCAAATATTTGCATCCAAATATCAGAGTTTTGAGGCAGCAAAATGCAATCTTTTATTTTCCACGAATATCTGCAATTCCAGCAGCTCCGGAGGGAGGAATCCACGATCCCTGTGATCCTGATACCTGGCCCAAATGATCCCAATGATCCTGGCACCCAATCCCAATGATCCTTGTGATCCTGATACCCGATCCAAATGATCCCAATGATCCCAGTGATCCCAGTACCTGATTCCAGTGATCCCTGTGATCCCGATACTTGATCCCAATGATCCCTGTGGTCCTGGTACCCAATCCCAATGATCCCAGTGATCCTTGTACCTTATCCCAGTGATCCCTGTGATCCTGATACTTGATCCCAATGATCCCCGTACCTGATCCCTGTTATCCCTGCACCCGATTCCTGCAGGAATCACCATTTCACCCCCAAACCCCCAATTTCCCCCCGCCGTAAAACCATTCCCTGCATTCCCACCAACACCATTCCCACTCCCACACCCAGGATCCCCTCCCAGCCCACGGACCCAACCACCAGACGACGCCTGGAGGCGCAGGGCTCCCTGCTGGGACGGGATCCCTGGAAATCCGGAGCTCCGGGAGGCGGCTCTGGCTAGATGAGCGGGTAGGAGGCGTAGCTGGCGATGCCGCAGAGGTTGGAGGCGTTGCGGGCCATGCGGATGTACCCCGCGTCTCCGAAGTGCACGCCCCAGCTGTGGGGAGGGGAGAGCACACGGGGAAACCCCTCGGTGTGGGGGTGTTTAAAAGCAGGGAGCTGCAAAAGGCACGTTCCCAGCAGTCCTGGGAATTTGGGAATTTGTGCGTTTCTAAGGGAGAATCCTTCGGAATCCTGGGGTTCACGGACCCGTTCGGGGTTGGAAAAGTCCTCAGAAATCACAAAGCCCAGCTGTCCCCGAGGCTGAGGAAGCCACCACGGGAATGTGTCCCCGAGTGCCACATCCGCACGGATTTGGGCAGCTCCAAACCCAAAATCGTGGGATTGTGGAGTGGGTTGGGTTGGAATGGAATTATGGAGCATCGTTCCAACCCTCCCACGGGCCAAGAAGCACCTGGACAAGGCCCCGAGGGACAAGGTGGGAGTTTGGGGGTGTCCAGGGCTGGGACCACTCTGATCCTTGTGGGTTCCCTGCAGCTGGGAATACTCCAGAATTCCCTGGTTTTACCTGTTCTTCACCAGCCAGTATTCCTTGTTTTCCAGGGAGCCGTATCCCACCACCAGCACGCCGTGGTTCACCTCCTGCGAGCACTGGGGGTCGTCAAACACCCCTGGGGAGGGAGAAAACCCGGAATTCCAGCCGATCCCAGCCTCCCTCCAGGAATTCACCACCAGCCCCCCAAATCCCACCCCCATTCCCAAGGATCCCGCTCACCAAGGAAGGATTCTGGGGTGAAGGAAAGGAAGGAGGCGGATTTGGAAGAGCCCCAAGGGCCTCAAGACCATCCCGCCCCAGGCTCCCTCCAGGAATGAACCCCCGCGTTCCCGAATTCCGGCCAACGCCGAGCCCTCACCGGAGCGGTACAGGAAGAAGCTGGGCCGGGTGGCGTCGATGGCCACGGCCACGGGGCCCACGGTGGCCACGGCGTCCCTGAGCGCGGCCTCGTCGCCCGCGGGCAGCTCCAGGAACCGGGAGCAGGAGGCGGCGCGGGCGGAGGCGTTGTAGTGGCACGTCCCGTTCTGCTGGGAAACGGGAATGAGGCGGGAAACGGGAACGGGAACGGGATGGGAAACGGGAACGGGATGGGAAATGGGAACGGGATGGGAAATGGGAATGGGATGGGAAACAGGAATGAGACGGGAAATGGGAATGAGCCAAGGAATGGGAATGGGATGGGAAACGAATGAGATGGGAAATGGGAATGAGGCGGGAAATGGGAATGGGATGGAAAACGGGAATGAGCTAAGGAAACGGGAATGAGATGGGAAATGGGAACGAAAAAGGAAATGGGAATGAGGCAGGAAACAGGAATGGGATGGGAAATGGGAATGAGACAGGAAATGGGAACGAGCGGGAAACGGGAATGAGAGGGAAATGGGAACGAAAAAGGAAATGGGAAAGAGGCAGGAAATGGGAATGGGATGGAAAACGGGAATGAACCAGGAAACAGGAACAAGATGGGAAACAGGAATGAGATGGGAAACGGGAATGAGGCGGGAAATGGGAATGGGATGGAAAACGGGAATGAGCTAAGGAAACGGGAATGAGATGGGAAATGGGAACGAAAAAGGAAATGGGAAAGAGGCAGGAAATGGGAATGAACCAAGAAACGGGAATGAACCGGGAAATGGGAGTGAGCCGGGAAATGGGAATGAGATGGGAAACGGGAGTGAGCTGGGAAATGGGAATGAGCTAAGGAATGGGAATGAGTTAAGGAATGGGAATGAGCTAAGGAATGGGAATGAGCTAAGGAATGGAATGACCTGGGAAATGGGAATGAGCCAAGAGACAGGAATGAGCCCGGAAACGGGAATGAGCCAGTGGGATCCGGAGTGTTCCCAGACCCCCATCCGAGCCCCTCCAGCCCTGCCTTCCCCATCCTTGGTTTGGTTCCCACTGGATTCTCTGCCCTTTTTCCTCAAAAACATCACTCCAACCCTATCCGGGGGTTGGTTTCCCCTTCCCAATCCCAGCTAAACCCAGCACAAGCCTCTATCCTCATCCTCCCTATCCACAGATGCTTCTCATTCCCTCCAGACCCCGGGAACAGCCTTTCCCTGTGTAGCTCCATGTCTGGAGAGTTAAATCCCACTTTTTCTTGGATGGAGCTGTTGTTGCTCTGACCCATTTCCTGGAATCGTGTTTTCAGGAGCCTCCTGACCCATTTTCCCCTCCCCTCCAGCTCGTTGCTTAAGAAATGTTGAAATAACCAGGTAGGAATTCCAGCTCCCGGTCCAGTCACTCCCCTCCAAAAAATCCCAAGGTTCCTGGGATGGCTTTGGATCCTCAGGTGCCACCAGGAAACCGGGGCAAGGGGGAACTGGATGGGCGAGGAGGGAGGAAAACAGGAAGAGGGTGAGGTTTCCATGAGTTTTCCTGGAAAAGAGCTTTCCCCACCTGGGCCGTGTAGGGATAGGACTCGTCGGACTCGATGCCGCCGTTGTCGATGATGTACTGGAACGCCCCCGTCATGAACCCCCCGGCACAGCCCTTGTTCCCGTACATCCCGGAGCAATCCACCAGGTTCTGGGCGCTCAGCGACACCAAATTCCCGGTTTTCAGCTTCACCTGCGCTTCCAGCGCTCCCACGGCGCTGAAGGCCCAGCAGGATCCGCAGGCGCCCTGGCGAGGAGCCGGGAGAGGCTCAGCAGCTGCCCCGGGAGCAGCGCGGGGCTGCCGGGGCGAGGCTCACCTGGTTCTTCACCTCGGTCACGCAGCCCTTGTCCCGCCAGTCCAGCGCCGCGGGGACGGCGCCGAGCGGCCGGAGCGGGGCCGGGAGCGCGGAATTCCGGCGGGGACGGGGACGGAGCTGGAGCCCCGTCAGCGAGGCAGCCACCTCCTCGCTGGTCTGGTGGGGAGGGAAACCCCAGCGCGTGATTCCCAGCCCCACCCGAGGGTGTCTGGGGATTCTGAGGTGGAATTGGTGGTGGCTAATCCTCAACTCCTTGTTTTTCCATTTAATTTCCAGGTTTTCATCAGGAAAGGAAAAGCTCAGCTCCAGTTCCCCCAAATCCCTGGAAACTGGGTCATAAACCACCCCCAAATCTGGGATACAGAAGAGGGATGATCCATAAACACCCCAAATGACCAGGACAGCTCCCCCTGTGTGCCCCAAATCCCACCGCAGGGAGTTCTTTCCCCACAGAATTCCAGAGCAGCCCGTCCCTGGCTGCTGGATCCCACCAGGACGGGCTGAGGGGGATGTCGGGAGTTTTCCCACCCCGGACCCACCGAAACCCCAGTTCAGTCACCCTCCAGGGCAATTCCAGAGGGCTCCCAGCACCCACCATGTCCCCCAGGTGGTTCATGCCCAGCGTGTAGGAGCGCAGCCCCAGGGAGTGCTCCAGGTTGTGCAGGGTCACCAGCCACAGGTTCTTCTCCCACGTCAGGCGACGGAGAAACTCCTCCTGGAATTCCAGCAGGGCCCTGTGAGAGCCGGGACCCACCAGAGCCATCCCCCCCCAGTTCATCCCAGTAAAGGCCTCAGCTGGGTCATGCCTGGCTCAGAAGCGCCATCAGATCTTCTCCCACTGCTGGTCACCCCCCAGGAAAGCCCCAAAAAATCCTGGGACATTCCCAGGACACCCCCAGCTGTCCCATTCCCACCTGGGGGTGATATTCCTTCCCGTAGGATTTTTTCCAGAGCTGCCAGTGCTGGTCCAGCGCGGGGTCGGGGTGTCCCAGGGCCAGCAGCAGCAGGGCCAGGAGGGCGGCGGGAGCCAGCGGCTCCATCCCGGGATCCGCAGCAGGAGCCGAGGGCTCGGAGCCGGGACTGACCCCTCGGTGACAAATCCGGTCTGGGCAGGGAGGTGACAACACCGCGGTGACCTGGCGCTGCCACCGGCCCGCCCGGACACGCACCCCGAAATTCCCTGCAGGGGAGAATCCGGGAGCCAGCCCCGAAATTCCCTGCAGGGGAGAGTGCGGGAGCCAGCCCCGCGTCCGTGGGGGCAGGCCGGGACACATCCGAGCCAGCCTGGAACCTGCTGCTGGGATGAATCCGTGCCCAAAAATCCCCAAATTTCACCCCAGCGGCGCTCTCCGGGATGGGATACACCGACAGCCCCCAGGCCAGGCGGAGATCCGGGGTAACAGACCCCAAGCCCCCATAAATCCGCTTGTCCTGGAGTTTTAGTTCCTCAAAGCGCTGCTGGGGCGGGGATTGGCGCATGAAAGGCGCCCAAATTTGCCCAAATTACCTCCAGGAGCTGCTCCAGCACCAGGGAGGGGCCGGGAGGGGGTCCGGGGTGGGATCCGGAGCGCTCCCGCTGCCGGCACGCCGGGATTTGGGGTCACGAGCCAGGAAATGAGGGAATGAGGAACCGAAAGTCCCGATCGCGTTTCAGTTCGGGTCTGCGGGGGCAGCGGGGAGGGGCTCCTCCTTCCTGCACCCCAAAAACCCCGGAGAGCTCCCAGGAGAGCGGGGCCACGGCTCAGGGGGGATTTGGGAGCTCCAGGGGGGAGTGGGGAGAGCCGAGCCCCCGGTTCACCCCAAAATTGGGGAAAACATCCCGGTTATTCCCCTCAGAAGTGCCGTCAGATCTTCTCCCATCGGTGGTCACCCCACAGGAAAGCCCCGGAAAACTCTGGGATGGGAGGAGGATCAGGGCACCGTGGGGAGCAGACACACGGATATTCCCAGTTCCTGCAGTTAAACCACAGGCAGAAAAGGTTCATCCAGCTGGAACTCCAAACTGAGTGCAGCTGGAGCAGCCCCACAAGGACGGGAAGGAGGTTTGTCCCACCCCAGCGTGGTGGTGGCACTTGGATTCTTTGGGAATCGTGGGAAGGGGTGGCAGGGATGAAATTCCCTCCCCGCACCCCCAAACCCCCAGCCAAGAACCAGAGCCGGCCCGGTGTGGGTGTTTTATCCAAAATTTATTGGTGGGAAGCGGAGGGGGCTGCAGGGAGCAGGTGGAGTTCCCGTCTGTCTCCGTGGCATCCCGGCTGGCTCAGTGCTGCTTCCGCCGGAACGAGCAGCCTGGGGGGGCAAACACAGCCTGGCACCGCTGCCTCCCCCCGGCAATGCCAACCCCACCTCCCCCTGCCCGCGTTTTGGGGGATCCTGCAGCTGCAAGCCCCCAAAACAGCCAGAATCCCAAACCCCTCCCCGGCATTCCCACCCCCCAGAATTCCAAAACTCTGCCGAAGGGGGAACCAGCCCCCCCAGGGGTCCCAAATCCCCCCACCCAAAGCAGGAACCAGCCCCTCCCAGGCTTCCAATTCCCCCCGCGGAGCTCCCGCCGTCCCCACCCCGGGATTCCCAAAGAATTCCCCGCGGGACACCCACCCTCGGTGAGCCGGGCCTTGCCCCCCGTGGGCTGGCACAGCACGGTGGAGCAGCCCACGCAGAGCACCACGGTCTGGGCATGGCTGAACACGGTGGTGATCTTGTAACAGCCTGCGGGGACAGCGTGGGGACAGCGGGCTCAGCGGGGGGACACGTGGAGGGACACGGAGGGACAAGGGGACACGTGGAGGGACAAGGGGACACGGCACGTGGTGATCTTGTAACAGCCTGCGGGGACAGCGCGGGGACAGCGTGGGGTCAGCGGGGGGACACGTGGAGGGACACCGGGACACGGCAGGAAACGCGGGAAGGGACACGAAAAGGGACCCCGGGACAGCGCTGGGGACACGGAGGGAGAGCCCGGCACGGACACGGAAAAAGATCGCGGTGGAAAACGGGGAAGGACACGAAGCGACGATAAGAGATGGCAAAACAAACACATGGAAAGGAACACAGCGAAGGGCAACGAGAGCGCGGGGACAACAGAGGGACACGGGGAGGGAGCCTGCGAGGCCCTCGGAGCCCACCGGGGCACTTGACGTCCATGAAGTAGGAGTTGGGGCTCTGCACCAGCCGCTTCTTCTTGTGCTTGCGCTTCTCCTCCTCGGGAGACGGGTGCAGCAGGTCCTTGGCGAGCTGCGGGGACACGGCGGCGGCTCAGCGCCGGGAGCGCGCCATCGCTCCCGCTCCCCCCCACCCCGTCCCCTCACGCCGCCGCCGCCATCTTGCAGCTCCCCCCTTCGCCCTCCTCGCCCCCTGGAGCGCGGGCAGGGCCGGGCCGCACTCACGGGCATGGCGGCGGCGGCGTGAGGGGCCGGAAAGGGACGGGCTCAGCCCCGCGCCGCCATTTCCGCTGCGGGGCGGCCCCAGGGGCGGAAGTGGGGCGGCGCCGGCTCGGGGCGGTGAGGGGGCTGACGCCATTTTGGGAAGGTCGCTGAATTTGGGGCGATGGTTAAAAGTTTTGTCACTTTGAGGAAAGCCCCTCTCATTGCCGCCATTTGGGGCGGTCGTTCAGCTGTCGGAATCCGGGGAGGTGCCTCATTGTCGGTACGGCCGTTGGTGTTTCCGCCGCTTTGAGACCGTCCCTCCGTTGCCGCCATCTTGGGGAGGCCCTCATGCCCGTCTGCCATCTTGGGAAGGTCGCCTGAACCATCCCGGGAGGGTGGCGCTCGCGCCATTTTGGGAGTGGCATTTAAAATGTGACGTCACTGTATCGATGTTGTGACGTCATCGGGGCGTGGCGTCGCGGCGGGGGGCGGGGCCGCAGGCAGGCCCCGCCCGGGGGGCCGGGCCGGTCCCGGTGGCGGCGGGCGGTGGCGGGGGCCATGGCCAAGGCCTACGACCACCTCTTCAAGCTGCTGCTGATCGGGGACAGCGGCGTGGGCAAGACTTGCCTCGTCATCCGCTTCGCCGAGGACAACTTCAGCAGCACCTACATTTCCACCATCGGTGAGCGGGACCCTCCCGGGACCCCCCCGGGACCCCCTCGGGACCCCCCAGCGGGGACCCACCGGGAGCCACCGGCACCCCCAAACCGGGACCCTCCGGGATTGTCCGGGACCCTCCCCCAGTGGGACCCTCCCCAACTGGGAACCTCCGGGATTCACCGGCACCTCCCAACGGGACCCACCGGGGCTGTCCGGGACCCCCCCGCTGGGACCCCCATCCTGGGACCCCTCCGGGACCCCCAGCCGGGAATCACCGGGATCCCCCAGCCGGGATTCACCGGGACCTCCCCTCTCCACAACCCTCCCGGGACCCCTCCCAGATCCCTCTGCTCCGGGACCCAACCGGGACCCCCATTCCGGGATCACCGGGATCCCCCCTCTCCAAAATCCTTCCGGGACCCCTCCCGGATCCCTCTGTCCCGGGACTCCACCGGGACCCCCATCCCGGGATTCACCGGGACCACCGTCCCAAAATCCCCGGGACCCCCACCCTGGAACTCATCAGAACCCCCCACCGGGAGCCCGGAATTCCACCCCGGAATTCCACCCCGGAATTCCATCCCGGGATTCCCCTCCCGGATTTCGCCCCCCGCCCTTTCCCGGGGAGCCAGATGGTCACCGGGAGCACCGGGAGGGGACCGGGAGAGCACCGGGATCACTGGGAGCACCGGGAGCACTGGGATGGCACTGGGAGCACCGGGAGCACCGGGAACACCGGGAGGGGACCGGGAGCACCGGGAGGGGACCGGGAGCATCGGGAGCACCGGGAGGGGACCGGTTCCGCTCCCAGCGCCCCCTCCTCTCCCCCAGGGATCGATTTCAAGACTCTGTCCCGGGACTCCACCGGGACCCCCATCCCGGGATTCACCGGGACCACCGTCCCAAAATCCCCGGGACCCCCACCCTGGAACTCACCAGAACCCCCCACCGGCACCCCGGAATTCCATCCCGGAATTCCACCCCGGAATTCCATCCCGGGATTCCCCTCCCGGATTTCGCCCCCCGCCCTTTCCCGGGGAGCCAGATGGTCACCGGGAGCACCGGGAGGGGACCGGGAGAGCACCGGGATCACTGGGAGCACCGGGAGCACTGGGATGGCACTGGGAGCACCGGGAGCACCGGGAACACCGGGAGGGGACCGGGAGCACCGGGAGGGCACCGGGAACACCGGGAGCACCGGGAGCACCGGGAGGGGACCGATTCCGCTCCCAGCGCCCCCTCCTCTCCCCCAGGGATCGATTTCAAGATCCGCACTGTGGATATCGATGGCAAGAAGATCAAGCTGCAGGTCTGGTGAGTCGGGGGGATGCTCGGGGAGGGGAGGAGACCCCCAAATCCCCCCCAAAAATCCCCCAAAACCCCCAAAATCTCCGCAGGGACACGGCGGGACAGGAGCGCTTCAAAACCATCACCACGGCCTATTACCGCGGAGCCGTGGTACGGGGAGGGGGCTGCAGCCCTGGGGGGGGCCCTGGGGGCGAGGACCCCTCCCCAAAACCGCGGGCGGGGGGTCCCGACCCTTGGTGACCCCCGGCCCCCCCAGGGCATCGTGCTGGTGTACGACATCACGGACGAGAAATCCTTCGAGAACATCCAGAACTGGATGAAAAGCATCAAGGAGGTGGGCGGGGGGGTCC